TTGAGCCCATTGTTACAGTCACCATGTCGGTGGTCCACCTGTAGAAGGTTTTCCTCTCTTACACTGACCCTCAGGGTCACTATGAGTCACAGGCGACTCGACAGCACATAACAACAACAACAAAACACACTGACCCTCCACCATTTCCAGCATGATGTCCTTTTCCAAGGACCTCTTCCTGACAACATGCCCAAATTATATGAGGTAAAGTGTCACTATTCTTGCCTCTAAGGAGCAACCTATTTAACTTCCTCCAAGACAGGCCTTCACCACCAATACAATAGAAAGACCTATTTTTCTTTTTCTTCTGTCACCCTTATTGATTCATTTCCCAACTTTCAGATCCATAATAAGTGAAAAAGCCATAGCTTGGATCAGATACACTTTAGTCTTTAAACTAACATCCTTGAATTTTAAGCTCTTTGGAGACGTGATTAATAGCAAATTGTCCCAATGCAATGCTTCTTTTGGTATCTTGGTGGCACTTATCCTGGATATCAATTGTGGATCCAAGAAGGATGAAATAATTAACTATTTAAGTCTTTTATCCATCTATCACAATGCGACCTACTGTCTATTGGTAAGAATTTTTGTCTTCCCTTGAGATATAATCCTCACTGAAGGCTGTAATCTTTGATCTTCCGCAGCAAGTACTTCATGTCTTCTTTACTTTTGCAAACATGATTGTGTCATCTGCATAATGCAAGTTGTTGATGAGTTTACTTTCAATCTTAATGGTACATTGTTCTCCATTAAATCCAGCTTCTGGAATTATTTATTCAGTATAGCAATTGAAGAAGTATGGAGAAATGGTACCATCTTGACAAAACCTTCGTCAAAGTGTATTGAATGTTGAAAGAGTAAATGGTCATAGTCTTAGGCTTGTAAGCATATGTAAACTATGTATATGTAAACTGGGCTAAAAAATGTTTTTTGCTTTTTCCCCCCCTGTTATCTCCATTAATTGTTCAACTTTCACAAGCATGTTGTTATTGTTGTTGCTATGTGCTGTCCAGTCCCCAGCTATTCATACCAACCCTACGCACAATAGCTCTGAACCCTGTTGGATCCTGAGCCAATCTCACTGTCTCTGACACGCTGTCCCTATTTCTCTACTCACTGTGTCAACCCATTTCATCCAGGGTCTTCCTCTCCTGTTTTGTCCTTCCACCCTTCCAAGCATGATGTCCTCCTCCATGAATTGGTCCCTCTTGGCCAAATGCTCAAAATATGTGAGACGGAGCTTCAAAATCTTTGCCTCCAGAGAGCACCTTGGTTTCACCCTCATCACCAAGATAGAGATCTGTTTATTCCCTTGGCAGTCCGTGGTAACATAGGAAGTAATTAAAAAGACCTTGGCTTGAATTAAGTATACAGCTTTGTCATCCTTAAACTGACATCTTCGTTTTTCAGCACTTTAGAGAGGTCCTTGACTATAGATTTTCCCCAACGCAACATTTCCTTTGATTTTTGTTTTTGAAAATCTCACACTGCTTACTTTTTTTGTAGAGCGTTCTGCAGGAAGTCCTTTTTCCTTATTCTTGTGTTGACCCATGACGTAGTGAAGGTTCAAGTTCCTGAGTGGACACTATTCTTCTTGAGGGAACTGCCTGGGCTCTTCAATAAGATAAAAAGCTTAGTGTTTGGAGGTTTGAAACCACCTACTGGAAGCCTGGAAGAAAAGCCTATTTGGCAATCTACTTCAAAAAGGTAGCCATTGAGAATCTTCTAGAGGACCCTTCTACTTTGATAAGCATGAGGTTTCCAAGCAGCAAAACTCATTTCCATGACAACTGGGTGGAGTTTTTGTTTGGTTTGTTATGTAGTTTGTTCCCTGCCTTCCTTCTTCCACTGCATATGCACCAGGCTGATCATTCACTTATTCAGTGCTCAAGCACCCTTAAAGTCAATTGAAGTTCATTCAGATTCCAGTGAACCCAAGTCTGTACCATTGGGACCACTCACCTCTTCTCTGTTCCCCTGGTGTTAATATTTATTTAGAAGATATTTACATTTGTAGCTGGGCCAGCTTGTCGCAGCCCCACCCTAGCAGCACAGGATTTCGGACCAGGAGTCACAGTGTTCAGTCTCAGTGTCTGGCTCCTGCCTGCCCTTCCCCTCTGGCAGAGAACCCCACTTCTCAAGTCTTGGGACCAAACCAGGCCAAAGCAACTGGAAAAGCCTCCGCCCTCGTCAGGCCCAACATTTGTTTGCTCAACAGTCTTCTTTGTCCCACCCAGTTAGTGACTGAAACTCAGCCACGCCCAAGACCCCAGTTAACTCTGGCTCAGCCTCTGACCTGCGATTGTTCCAGCCCACTTGTTGCTGCAGATGCTGCTGAGTTCAGGACTGTGTCCCTGTCTCCATGCGCAATGAGCCCAGAGTGGTGGAGCGCCCCTGCAGTGCTGCACCTCTGTGGGGGGCTGCTCCTCCTGCTGCTGCTGTTGAACACGCCCCCCGTGCGCAGTGAGTTGGGGACTCTGAACCAGCCTCCTTGGCTCACCCTTAGAGAGGGAGGGACGGGTTGGTTAAGTTTCCATGGCCTTGGAGAGGTTCTTTGCACTTGGGGAGTTGAAGTATTTGGGCATCATCTATAGTTGCTTTCCTAGGAGAGCCTGAGTGGTGCAGTGGTGAAAGCATTCCGCTGCTAACCAAGAGCTTGGAGGTTTAAACATATACCATCAGTCTCTTCATTTAGAACCCACTCACCAAAGGAAGCTCTGGCGGCCTAGTGACAAGAAACTGCCCTGTAATCCCCAAAGTTCAAAGTTTGAATCCACCACCTGGATTCGACCAGCTACTCTGGTGCTGGACTTTGTTCTGGGGTGTGTGTGTGTGTGTGTGTGTGTGTGTGTGTGTTCTTCTTCTTCTTGTTGGTTTTTTTGTTTTTTTTTTAAATTATTCCCCACAATCCTCTACCTTTAAGGCTCAGGGTTTCTGATGGCATGATCCCTGGGGTCCAGGAAGCGGATTTCCCCTGCGAGTTAGCTCCTGGGGACTGGACTGGGCCAAGTCTGCGAAAATAGTTTTAGGAGCGACACCTGACGGGTTGGGGAAGCACATGTGAGAGTCGAAAGGGAGGGTGCCAAAATAATTCTCAAATCCCAAAGGGACTCTCCTTTTTAACGTTGAGGGGCCAAATAATTGATTAAACTCAGAGCAACACTTGGTACCCGACCATGCGTGTTGTTTCTGCTATGTGTCTTTTTCCAAGGGGCTGCTGTCTTTCTGAGACTCTAGCAACGTACCTACCCTGACAGTCGGTAAATCCTGTCCTCTCTCCCACCTTTTTTCTTTTTTTTTAGTAATGGAAGGGGAAGGATTTGTTGCCCTTAATTAGAGTCTTGAATCAGTTGACAAGACACGAGATCTATCAAGCTGGTGGTGTGTACCTTTCAGCCCTGGGCAGACGTGCTCTGTGTGCATCAAAATTCATCGCAATGTCCTTCATTCATTTGGGAAGAGAATATTGGTGTGAACTGAGAAATGTTATTTCTTTCAGTTGAATTTTTACTCCTCTAGGTGACTGCAGCTCACCCCCAGATATGCCTAATGCGACACCAGTTTTGAAAGGTGCTACAACTTTTCCTGTTGACAAGATGGTGTATTACACATGTAATATAGGCTACGTCAAAATTCCAAGAAAATCACACGCCATTCAATGTCTCAGTGACAATACATGGCTACAAATAGATCCAAACTTCTGCGGTCGTAAGTTCTTTATTTCTCTTTAAAAGTTATGAGAATAGGGGTAGTTTCTAAGTTTATTTTTATACCTCTTCAGAGTGACCGGTAATTGACTGTTTGGAGCATTATTAAGCCCCAGGGTGCCCTTGTTGGCATATCACACTCCAGTTAATTAAAGGCATTACTTCCTTGACTAGCTCCTGCTTCTTAAGAGGTTTTTCCCTAACAGTGTACCTCTTGAACAGACTAATAGAGAAAGTAAACAATAGTTATTGTTTAGGGAGTAAATTATATATGAATATATATGACGGTTACCATAAGACACATGGTCTGTTTTCTGAAATTTCATTTTGCAATGTAGAACTTACCAAACACAATTCTTTAGTGGGATTTAAAAAAAAGCCGTCTTTATTTACTTAAAAAAAACCTTATTAATGTTTTTATCTGTTTGCTTACAAAGTGCATATACATTGTGTTTCACAGTATTCTTCATTCATTTTATGTCTCGTATAATAATTATTATACATTATATTTTATGAAATTAATCACCATTGGGCATTACAACCCTATATTTTTGCCCAGATCCTTCCCATTTCCTTTCCACCTTTTTTTCATCCACCAACTGTACAAATCTATGGTTTCACTCATCCCATCCTTATCCTCAGTCCCACTCCTTTACCCCTTGGTTTCCCATTCATTTCTTACCAGTTATAATTCTATTTTCACAATAATGGTCTTACAGAGTATTTCTCCTTATGAGACTGAGTTTGTTAACTCAGTTAATACTCTCCAGTCTCTCCTAAATTATGTGGTGTTTTGTGAAATCATTGCTCCCAAGTGCTGCATAGTGTTCCATTGTGTGAATGGACCACACTTTCTCAATCCACTCAGAATCCACTCAGTTGTGGATGGACATTTGGGCTATTTCCACATTCTTGTGATGGTAAATAATGCTACTACGAACATTGATGTACCAATCTCCGATTGTACCTCACTTCTAGTTTCTTTGGGGTATATTCCTAGTAGTGGAATAGCTGGGTCGTATGGAGAAAAACTTGTTATTTTCTGCATTGCTCTCTGGTGTTGTTGTTAGGTGCTGTCAAACCTGCTTCCACTCATAGCTACCCAGTATACAACTCAGTGACACATTCCTTGATCTTGTGCCTTCCTCACACTCACTTCTGTCTTTGAATTCACTGTTGCAGCTACTTGTATCAATTCATATTGTTGAGGGTCTTCTTCTCTTTCACTGACCCTTTGCTTGAATAAGCTTGGCAAGAGAGAAAGGCCCTATATGAGGTGGATTGATTCAGTGACTGGGATAATTGGGATGGGAGTGTCAGAGACAGTGCGATTGGCACAGGACAGAGCGGAGTTTAGGGCTGTTGTACATAGGGTCGCTATGAGTCGCAGGCGACTCGACGGCACATAACAACAACAACAACAACAACAACAACATCTTTCTCCAGGGACTGGCTGACCCCACAGATAATGTGCCCGAAGTGCGTAGGACTCAGCCTCACCATTCTCAATTCCACGTCGAATTCTGGCCGCACTCCACCTAAGAGATTGTTTCGTTCTTTTGGCACTCTGTATGCCTCTGGAAATGAAGGCTTCAGGCCTTTTGTTCATAGGGTTGCTATGAGTCGTGCTCAACTTGACGGAAATCAACAACAAAGATATTAGCACTGATACATATAAGTAAAGATGCAGACTTGATCCCTGCCTCTGAACAGCATGAAATCACTTCAGCCACAGTATTTCTTTAAAAGAGATATAAAATAGTTTTTAATATTTCCTTGGCCTTGAAAGAACACACACCAAAACCTATCCTAGAAGGCAGTAGCCTGAAGTGTGTAAGTCTTTAAATATGTATCAAGTTTTGTAGTTAAACTTATATTACTTTGTTCAATCCTCCAAAGACCCTAGGAGCTAATCAAGAACTTCTATGTCCCTATTTAAAGTAGAGGAGATAGACTTTAAGAAGTTTCTTTTTTAATAACTTCCTTAAAAGAAGCAGCTCAGTTATAGGGAATTCAGGGTTCACAACCTGTGTGTTTTGATTACAAATCCAGGTCCCTTGTCATCATACCATGCCTTTCTAAATTCACCTTTGGTCAGTTTTTTAGACCTTATGAAAACTTTAAGGACACTATTCAACCTTACGGAACTTTTGTAGTGTATGTAGTAGGTGAAGGGCTGGGATACTAACTCAAAGGTCAGCCGTTCAAACCCACCTACAGCGCTGCCAGGGAAAGGTGAAGCCATCTCCTCCTTCTGCGATTCACAGCCGTGGAGACGGGATGGATGGAGGATGGAGAGGTTGCCATGAGCCGGGATAGATGCCACGGCAATGAGTTTTATTGATCTTCACTTGATTTTTGTCCACATTAAGTTGTGGTGGGGAATAAATGAGTTTAATGTATTCAATAAAAAATGACTTATTATTACAATTCTTTTTGCCATGCAGGATATTTGTGTTTGGGTCTAGAAATGTTGTTTCTTATCTCTCCATGGTACTGTACGTTTGCTTTTTGTTGTTAAGAGCCATCAAGTTGAGTACAAACCATATTAACCCTATAAACAACAGACCTGAACCGTGTTCTTTCCTGGGCCATCCTCACAATCTCTGACACACTTGAACCCATGGCTGCCGTCAGCGTGTCCTTCCACCTGGTTGAAGGTCTTCCTCTCTTTCACCATCCCTCTAACTGTCCCAGCAGGATGTCCTGTCCCCTCTATTCAACAGCCTTTCCCAGCAATATGCCCAGAATATATGAGAGGAAGCTTTATCCTCTTTGCCACCAAAAAAGCACTCTGGCCTTGTTGTTGTTATGTGCCGTCGAGTCGTTTCCTACTCATAGCGACCCTATGC